TTGAAGGGCGGTGTGTGGCTTTTGTATAACTGTTATGCAGGCGCCTTTTCGAGATCTAGTTGCTTGATGGATACGATCTATGTGTATACTCGTTGCCTGTTGGGCCAACTCCCAGGTTCTTACAATAAGAGTATATGAATCTGATGTACACTGAACGTCTTTATGAATTGCTTTCTGACACGGATACCGGCCGTTGGTCAGGAATTTTCCATTCTGAGCTCTGAGTGTGCTATACTGAGCAGCAAGAGGGAATAAACCATGAATTGGAGATTGATCAATTGTTCAATCTCATGAGCTCACTGAGCCATCTGCTTCTCAAGCTGAGCCCTTGATATTAACAGAATGCCTCCAAGGATCACGAATATCAAGTAGAGGGTCTAGTGAGCTACTCCTTCACCGAAGGATGGTCTGCTATTGGGGCTTGACCGAGACAAGTGGGCACCGGGGTCGGAAGAAGTGGGCGATCTACGCAGGGTGGTGCTGCCTTTGCCTCTGCAAGTCTGCAAGGAATCGGATGAGGCTTTTTCTCGGACCCTGACCGAAGGGATGCATCGTGAACAGCCTTGCTGCTCACCGCAAGACCTGGTCCGAACCAAAGCGCTGGGTCCAAGGCTGAGTGAGGCATTGAAGGACGTACACATATGCAATTGGCCGCATCAAAGGTTCATGGAGAGGCAGCAGGATGAGTCATATGTACATGAACCTTCAATGGGGTTGGAATGCAGTGTTCCTTCCCATTGAATCGTGGTGGGAAGCTGCAGTCACGAATATGACAGAGGTGGAAGGAGCGTGCGACGAAAGGGAAGGCGGCGACGGAGACGCTGAAAAGGAAAGGACCTGGCTGGGTAGGGACGGGCTGAACTGGAGGCTGTTTCCTCCTATTGGAAGAAAAAAAGGTACTTTGGTACTTGTACAGCGCGGGGAAGAAGGCTGGTGCGTTCAGTGTCCACGGTGAATCTCACCGACAGCCAATCAGAGACGCTTCCGTTGACCCTGTCAATCGCAGCCAGGACTGAATTGTTCAACGCCGATTTTTTTGGCATTCGCCCGTTCTCGATCGCAGCCTTTCTCAGGTCCATACCTCGTCGCGCCTGACCAAATCGCCTCTCTTGGCTTGCCGACGGCGAAGGAGCTGATCTGTCCGACTACAGAGCAGCGATGACTTCGTCCAACGCCGGCCAAAATGGCCTGGCGCCCCTTCCGACCACGCCGCCGCCCAAGCACAAGTCGACGACACCAGGCCGACCTGACCACCCCGACGACAACGACAACAACAATCACATCGCCCCGAACGCTGCCGACCAGCAGCAACCATCGCGCACCGACGCATCTACAACAGTACATCCATCTATCGAAGACGCGTCGACCAAACAGCAGAACACCTCAATAGCCGTCGACACATTCATGGCCGATGCCGACGCCGGCAGCGCTCCACCCGCGACAATGTCGCAGCCGGCTTCAGCCGTGCAGGTTGACGCTGACCCATTCGCCTCGTCCTTCCCACACACTCCGATGCCAAACATGGACCACGCCTACATGATGATGGCTCTGGCGCATATGGCTGGCAACCAGATGTCCAATCAAATATCACCGCCTCCGACCGTCACGCCAGCCCAGGTCACCCTTCCGAGCACCATGGGCAACGGCAACGATCCGCTTGTCGCAAGCACACATAACCTCGCCGCGGCAACACAGGGCCTCGAATCCTTTGCGCGTATAGAATTCGCCGACAGTGTCTTCCAGATGACCACGTACGCCGTCATTATTGGTCGCGATCAGAAGGCTCTGAACCAGGCGCGGAGAGACCAGAAGCGCGATGATGCCTATCGCAAGAAGGCGGAAGAGTATGAACGCGAGGGCCTTCCGCCTCCTTCTCCTGTCAGACATGGCCCGGGGAAGTTCAGCAAGTCATACGTCAGTGAAGAGGGAGGCATGCTGGGACCCGAGTCCGACAGTGAAGGGGAGGGGCGACCAGCCAAGCGCCGCAAGACGACCAGTACCGGATCATCACAGAAGCAGGAAGAGGACGAGTCACAGGAAAAGCTCATCTCAAATCGACAGTATGTCTCGCATACACCGGGCGCTGCAGCCGTGGATCTGGCCTCATTACGGCCCTCTCCTCATCACGTTCCTTTTGTCGGCATCCACTCGCCCGGACCTGATATCGCCAGCAAAACCAAGGCCATTTCAAGAGAGCATCTCAAGATCCAATTCAATAAGAGAGAAGGGGTCTTTGAGGCTATTCCACTCCACAAAAATGGTTTCTTCATCGACGAAGTGCACCACAAGGAAGGTGTCGCCGTGCTCCGGAGCGGTGATCACCTGCAAATCAAGGACGTAGATTTCCGCTTCGTCATCAACGGTGTTCCAGAAGGCCGGACAGGTGCCGAAGAGTATGCGGAAGAGGAGGAGAAACTCAAGAAGAAGGCGACGGGTGGAAAGGAGATGAGCTTCGAGTTTGAAGCCTCCCATGGCAACGGTCTCGACGACACAAGCGACTCTTCCCTTAGCTCACCAGCGCCATCAGACGTAGAAATGTCTGACGTCGAACCAGAAGAGGAGGAAGAAGTTGAGGCCGAGAGTAGCTCCAAGGCAGAGGCGGAGGCGGAAGCAAAGGCAGAAGCAGCAGCTGCCGCAGAAAAGGCGACAGCAGAGGCAGCAGCCGAAGCTGCAGAAGCAGCACAAACGCAAACTGAGGCCGACGATGAGGCCGATGCTGAAGCTGATGCTGAAGTCGATGTTGACGCTGATGCTGACGCCGAAGCTGATGCTGAAGGAGAGATGTCACTGGATTATGGAGAGGAAGCAGACGATATCCAACCCACTACAGAGGTCAAGGCAGAGGACCAAGAAATGGTGCATCTTCTAATGGGAGGTGCTCCATTAGGCTATCTGAACAAGAAGAGAGGACCCGGCCGGCCACCAAAGAACGGAATCATGTCCAAACGAGAGCAGCGGCTCCTTAAGAAGGCCCAGCAAGAGATGGCTAAGAAGACGATACCACAGCCTCCTCCAGGAGAGCCCCCCATCAAGCGGAAGGTCGGTCGTCCTAGGAAACATCCACTACCAGACGAAGGAGGAGACCGACCGGAGAAGCGCAAGTACAAGCCCCGGAAACCAAAGGGCGAAGACGGTCTTGAAGGATCAGATGCCGAAAGACGCGCCAGAGAGAAGAAGGAAAAGAAGGCTCGTCCCAAGTCGCCCCCGCTCGAACTCAAGATCGAGGACTACACGGAGGAGCAGCTACAGAAGCCGAACAAGAACTACGGAGTGCTTATCGACGAGACCCTCACTGCGGCAGGGCCTGACGGTCTCACCCTCAAACAGATTTACAAGCGAATTACCCAGAGATACCCGTGGTTCTACTTCCACACGGAGACAAAGGGCTGGGAGTCTAGTGTACGACATAACCTCATCGGGAACGAAGCCTTCAAGAAGGACGATACCACAGGCTTGTGGTCCAGGGTGCCCGGTGTCGAACTCGATGCCGGCAAGAAGCGCAAGGCTACGTCACCGGACCGTTCTATGAGTGCGGGCTATGGTCACTACAACCACCCAATGTACACTCAGTACGCCCAACAGCAGCAGAGCCACATGCCTCCTGGCTACCAGCATCTTCCTCACAACTACCACGCGCAAGCCTATGCCGGGCAGCAAGCGCAGACAGCAGCCAGGACGCCACAATACTCTCCCCCCGGCGTGGCGCCGAACCCTGGCCAGCCCGCACCGCCAGTTACCTCTCAACCAGTAGCGCCAGTGACGCTCCCTGGATACGGGGCCGCTGCTGCCATTGCACGGCCTCAAGGTGTCGCAGGGCAGCCTTCTACATACAGTTCACCGTACGCTTCAAGGCCACCTCCAGCTCATCCCGCTGTCAAGACCGAAGACGCCGCCGCCGCAACCTCAGCACCGCCAATTACACAACCTGCTCCAGCCGCCATCCCTGGAGCACAACCACCCCCACCACAGATACCCGCTGCTGCCCCGCCGCAGCAAGCTCGACCTACGCCTACACCACCAGCGCAAGCCGAACCACGTCCCGTCATTCAGCCCAGGCTACTCTCAGCTGTTAATGGCCTCAAGAACGGCCTCATTGAGAACCTGAAGAAGGCCAAGAACCCAAAGGCAGAGGCCATCGTAATGTCTGCCCTCAACCGCTGTCTGGGTCTCAAGAGTGCCGCCACAGAGAATCAGACCATGGAGGATATCTGTATGAAGGGAATACAGAAGCTCTTAGACGGTTTCTCGACCCGAAGCAACACTCCCGGATCAGGGGGCACGCCCACTCCCAGTGGGCCGACCAACGTCTTTGATTCCAAGGTCTTCAACTCTCTCCTTGGGTTCAAGAACGTTTCGTCGAATGCGCTCAAAAGCAGGATTGGCGAGGCCAAGGCTGAGGCAGTCACTCTATCCGCCATTGATCGAGTGCTGGGCTTGGCAGACGCGAGCATAGTACCCCCACCTGCGGAAGCCAGCGCCTCAGGGTCGCCCGCAGCGGGCTTTGACGGGATCGAGTCGCACTTGATGAACTCGGTGAAGCAGCTCCTGTTGGGTCTCAACCAGAAGCTGCACGGAACATAGAAAGAGGAGCCAGGGTGCGGGACATATATGTAAGGTCGAAAGGATACGGAAGGAAGGAAAGAAATAAGCGTTACAATAAGCGTTACCAATGTTCGGCGTTTCTGTGTCGGCGAACTCGGCCCTTCCTCTGGGAGAGGATGGATTGGTTGAGATCTCAAAAAGGATATGATCATGAATCAGCGAAAACCTCGTCTACTCATAGCATGGCTACGTGTTGTCGTTTAGCACCTAAGAATACACAAAAATCGTTTACAATTACATTGGTGGCCGCCGGCGGTACCGTGCGTACCGATGAGATGCCTTGATTGTTCGTAAGCGATGCTCATCTCGCCTCTTCAGCCTTCTACGTTTCCTCTCATATTCAGGACCACGTTTGCCACATCAGTCATTTCTAGTCACGGCCTTGTCATTCCAGTTGATTAACCTCTCCGACTCGGAAGCTCTACGGGGGAGGCGCCCGGCAACTCAACCGGAGCCGCCGTGGGATCTCTTCGAGGCTCTGATCCGTACACTTCAGACGGGCCCCAGCCGGCGTATATCTTGTTCTGTCCAGCGTCAAACCCTTGTGTATCTGTTCGAACAGCTTCACTTTGTTCATAGTTGGGAGGCTTCGAGGACGACCGTCCCCACGACCTGAAGCGGCTCCCTCGCTTCTCTTGAGGTTCTTCCTCTGTGGCGCGCTTGTTACGTCGCATGATGTAGATTGCAACAATGACTGTGACACAGATGATGGCGACACCGCCGACGACGCCGCCGACGATGGCTGCTGTGTTGCTTGAACCCTCGGGTGACGACTTATTTCCGTCTGACGGGGAGGCTGTCTGGCTCGCTAGCGACGTGGGTTGGGTTGCGGACGATGGCACACCTGAGGATGGCAAAGAGATAGGAGAGGATGTCAGCGTAGAAGCCGATGTGGTTGATTCTGTTGTGGTGGCGTCCGTGGGTGTGGTGATGAAAGTAGTCGCGGTGATGGACGTTGGTGTTTCGGCGGTGGTGATGGGTTCTTTGAACAACGTTTCTACTGTCGCTACGTTGCCGCAGGCAATGTAGGAGAAGCCTCCTTCGAAGCCCCCTTCAAGAAGAACGGTGGAGCAGAATCTATCTGTTGCACTGTGGTTTTCGTTCTCATCTGTTAGTCTTTCTCCTTTTTTGGTCCCTACGTGTCTTATAGAACACATAAAGAGAGGAAAGCAGAGGCATGGAGGTAACTCACCAGGTGAAAGTCGTCAGGCCTGCAATACCCGTCTTGCCGCAGCCGGATTTACAGTTCTGCGAGTCGACGCAGTTGCCGGCCAGTCCGCAGTCTTTGGCAGAGATGACGGTCGTGGGACAGAATCCCCAGAGCCCGCGGTCGATGTCGAGCCGGCAGCCGAACCCTGGATCAGCTGTCCTTGATTTCTCCGGGTCGCCGTCGTAGTATCCGCACACGGAGGTCACTGAGGCGGCTTGTCGTCTTTTGAGATCGGCGTTCAAGATGTTTGTACCGTTGCGCGAGGGGGCCTTTGTTGGCTTTGGCGGTGCAAGGCGTGCGTATCGGAGGTTGATTGCTAAGACGCCATCCAGTCCTAGAGCAAACAGGAGGAGGAAAAGAAGAAGAGCTCGGGGCATGCTGGGTGCGTATGTGCTGAGATTTTCCCGAGTCACTCGTCGATACAATGTTGCGAATACAGCAGGACTCTAGTGTTTGTAGTTCTTGATAGATTACTAGGACGGCCTCTCTTCACCTCTCTATTTCTCGTCTTTCTCCAGGCAAAGCAGAAGACGTAGATGAGACGAGCCCTACTGACTTTCTAATGTGAATTGAGATGTCCGCTATAATAAAATGAGAAGGGTATTGTGTGACTGGAGTTTATCGCAAGGGCGTAGGGGGCGAGGGCTCGCAAGGTACAATAATTATCGTAAGTCGTATAACGAAAATCAACGAAGAAAGATCTACAGTCCGCAGAACGAGAAAGACACATCAAACCTTGCTAGACAGAGAAAGGGAACGAAAAGGCAGGCGACTGAACTAAGTATGCAGCAAGCCGCCCAACACCGAAGAGATCCAGCCATTCTCAGGTTCTCAAATTAAGACCATGGACAACGCACGCCCGGGTACCGTACTCGACGCGAGACTCTTCAGCCAACATTGTTGTGGCGTTATTCCTCCACGGTCATTGACTCTACTCGAGGACTGGCCTGGCCCTGCAAACAGGCGAGGGAATTCGAAACGAGGTTGTTGTGAACTTTTGGTTCTGCTTCTGTCCCGACAGTTTGGTAAGACCCTGGTAATCTCATTTCCTTTTGACGAATCACCGTGAGGTTGTCGAATCCTAGGCGTCTCTAATACCACCGAGAGCCCATGTTGCGTGAGGACTGAGGAGGCAACTTCCTGTGCACATCACAGCGGTGAGCTAACCGGGCGAAGGAGGGGACGACACAATGGGGTTTATGCGCCAGCCTCGAGGTGAAACCGTGAGACTAGGCCAGCAAGATGGGCAATGCTATGGATAAAACCAACATTTCAGAACCAACACGACGAAGTCCAGAAAAGCACGGGAAAGGGCCTTGGCTGCGGGCCCATCATGGTGTAGCGGACCAACCAGGTCGCGATTGCGAATGGTGCAGTTAAGCGCCCACGAGTGAACGCCCTCGGCCCCTTGCTCCTGATTTCTTCTTCCGGGGGGTGATGTGCTCAGAATCTCTCAGACACCTGCTGTGCCTCTCTGAGTATCCCCGCCTCCCCGACCAACGGAGTACACGGATGTCGACCGTCCAACAGGGCAGGCGGGCCCGCGTCTACCTAGGATAATCAGTGGTCCGCAATGGCGATGGAAAGAAAGAACGAACAAGGGCTCTTTCGCTTCCAACGTCCACTTGAGCTGTGTTCACTGTTGGTCGCCCCCCAGAGAAAGCAACCCCGGTCACACTTCTCGATTGGAAGAGGCGCGTTTGCCTGTACATCCTCTGTCATACTCGAGGCTGATTTCGCTTTCTTCCTCCTTTTCTTTCTGTTCATTTCCTTCCGTACTTTCTACAACCTCTGGCCCTTTCCCTAGACCACGATGGTAAAGCTCGATTCTTCATGAGCAAATCATGGCGAAAAGGATACACAGCACTATCGCACAGGCTGGCGTAGTGTGTCTGTTGCTCATCAGCTTGCTCGTCGCATATGATCTTTTCTCGGGGCGCGAATACTTCGACATCGCGTACAAGCCATTCCGTACGCTCCCTTCACCACACACATTGACCTTGCCATCGTCGGCGTCGAACTTGACGTCGAAAGAAGGATCAATTGAACTGACACTTGACTCAGGGAAGCCAAATCCGACCGAAGCAGTGCACGGAGCAGCTCCACAGGATGGAGAAAATCAGACGAACACCGCCGTAACATCGCCGGCGATCGCGCCGTCGCACACGCCACTACCCCCGATTTCTACCCCGACGCCGACGCCACCGCCGGTGCCATCCCCAGACGTTGGCGGCGGCGCCAGCTCCACAGTACCGGACGCCAACCCGGAGCACCTCAAAAACGCACCGCTCTACATCACCACGATCCTCGACCCAGACGACAAATCTCTGCCCAGGCTAGACTGCCCTCGACCCGACATCTCACGCTACCAGTACCTCAAGCCCAGCACCAACCTGAAGAAACCCAAATTCTTCATCGCCCTCAACATACGAGAAAAGGCAGACCTCCTCCCGCGACTGCTAGGCTCCATCGTCGAGGCCCTCCATTTCTTGGGCCCGGTAAACTGTGTCCTCTCAGTAGTGGAAGGCAACTCGGGCGATGGCACCTACGAAATCCTCCACCTCCTCCGTCCGGAAATCGAGAAGCTTGGTACCGAATATCACTTCTCCCGCAGCGACCTCGACCCGGGCGCGGGAGACCGCATCCCCAAACTCGCCGAGCTGCGCAACATGGCTCTTGCGCCCCTCGTCTCCGGCGGACCAGGCAGATACGCCGCCGACGCGGTCATCCTCTTCCTCAACGACGTGGCCATTTGCCTGGAAGACATCCTCGAGCTCGCCCATCAGCGACTGTATCTGGGCGCCGATTTGACGTGCGGCTTCGACTGGACCTACGTCGGCCCCGATCCGACCTTTTACGATGTGTGGATCAGCCGCACCATTGCGGGCGATTCCTTCTTCGAGATCCCGCCCGACGGCAACTGGAACTCTGCGTGGAACATCTTCTGGAACGAAGATACCTCCCGTCGGCGCTTCTTCGACCACAAGCCGCTGCAGGTCTTCTCGTGCTGGAACGGGGCCGTGGCGATGACGGCGAGGCCGCTGCTGGATCGGCTTGTTCGTTTCAGGGCGCCCAGCCCGGGGGAGTGTTTCCAGGGCGAGCCGCAGCTGTTCTGCAAGGATCTGTGGAACGCCGGGTTCGGTAAGATCGCAGTGGTGCCGAGCGTCAATCTGGAGTACAGTGACGAGGCTGGAAGGAAGATTAAGGCGGCAAAGGGGTATACCAGTCAGTGGGTGGGAGGCGAGGACGAGGTGCAGGATTTCAGGGTGGATTGGAAGGCTGATCCGCCTGAGAAGGTGAAGTGCATGGCGAGTTATGATAAGCAGACGTGGGAGCCCTGGAATCAGGCGCTGGGGTAATGGGAATAATGTGGCCACGATCGTAGTTAACGTGGAAATTGATACCTTTTCTGTTTGGTATTTGTGTTCCAATTTGCGCTGTTCTATCCAAATACCCCCCCCCCCCCGGAACCCCACGAAGGGAAAACTAACAGGTCCTCATAAATCTACCCCCATAGTTGCTCATTATCTACTGCCCGTTGAAACAAATGCCTCCCAAACAATCCCAAATCCAAATCCAACTCATCCAATTTCCGGTTACTGCAATGTAGTGCCCCCTTCTCTACCTACTCAAACTTTCGAAGTCTAGCCCACGCTTCATACATCGCCAACTCCGCCTGAGCCTTGGCCAGCTTATACTCGAGGTTCTCTCGATCCTCTGTCTGGCTTGGGTAAGGATAAGGTAAGCCAGCCTTGCCATTGGGTTCCCACTTGACCGATGGGGCCGGAGCGCGGGCACGTCTGGTGTGGCTACGGACTGGCTGGGGTTCATAAAACTCCTCCTCCTCCTCCTCCTCCTCTTCGGAGTCCTCTTCAGAATCTTCTTCTCCAGAATCACCTTCGGGATCCTCTCCGATGAGGACTGCGGTGGACGAGGCGGAGCCTCTCGGCGCTCGAGGAGCTCGTCTCGGTGTGACTGGAGGCGGCGCCGCAGTGCGCTGGCGGTGTGACGATCGCGTCGATACCGGTTGCCGGAACTCTCTCTTATTGGCGACGGGGGTGGAAGGGGGCGTAATCATGGTCGTGGTCGTGCGCTCCGTTCTGCCAGGAGAAGCCTTGTCATCCTGTCCCTCAGCGGCGACGCCACGGTCGTTGCTAGCTTCAAGATACGACCGGATCTGAGCCTTCCACTGCACAGCCTTCTCGACAGCCTGGGCCTGGTGAGATCGCTTGCACAAGACAAGACTGGCAAGTCGCTCGAGGTGAGCAGACGCAGACGCCAGGCTGCCGCAGTTCATAATATCGAGCATGACGAACGCCATCTCGGATCGCGAGGCTTGGCTGACTGCGTTGCCGCAGGACGACTTTGTGGCGGAGTGGCCCTGGCAATTGAAGCAGGATTTGAAGTCGACGCCGAGGCAGGTTTGGAGCTCGGTAGTGTTTTTAAGCCATTTGGGCATGACGGCGACGACCATGGTTGCTTGTGAGATGAGGTGGGATGATACGAAGGTGAGACTGGAAAGGATACTGTTGTTGATTGACTAGCGAAGGTACGGGAACAGAAACCTATTTTGATTCATCGAGATGGGTGACGGCTCCCTGAAATATACATCACCCTTGACGGTTTGCACGGTGGCCACGCCAGACTGGTGACGATCCTCTCGGCCATGGGAAGCCACGGGGAAGGTCATGGAAAGTGCCAGAGAACGATTTGAAAAAGCCAGGAGAGCTTTCTAGAGTTGATCTGAATCCGGGCCTCAGAAGCAGCTGGAACATTTTCTGCAGTATGGCAACCATCTGCAGTGGCGGTGAGTGGCTACGACAAAGATTGTAGCATTGGTATAAGCCCTACCACTTACACTATTGTCCGAGAAACGAGTCGGCCAAATTGATCTTTGTCTTTTCAAGTGTTGTCGTGGATGAGACGACACTCTGATCAGAACCCAAGACAAGAAGAGAGGACTAATTATGCATTGGATAGATCTAAAGTGCTGACTTACGCACATAGCCGCATGTTTTCTGCACTATCGGTTTCGAAGTACATCCTCTAGCGACCGCGTTCGATATTTGTTGAAACAGATGCGCCTGCAAAACAGTAGGCAACCAAGAACTTAGACAGCAGGCTTTCATGTCAGCGTGTAGACAAGCTCAGAAAGTCTGGTCCGATTCAATCTCAGACATTGCGAGCGCGGTATGCAAGTGTAAGAGAGGGACATATAGATGGCGGCATTTCATCAGACGCATATCATCCGACGAGACGAGAGGAACCTAACCTTTAAGCAGCCTCACAGACAAGAGGTCCAGGGAACTCATAGAACATGCCTGCTTGAACGCGCCAAGATGCTGCATCTGGGTAGAATACCAAGTATCCGCAGTTACTGAGCAAACGGTAGCATGCTGGTTGGGGGTTCGGGTGGCTACTTTGTCACGTAATGCTCGCCGCCAGACTTGAAAACGGACTTTCTCCTGGTTTGAGGTAATATGACTGATTAAGTCGACTCAGTGAAGGCCCAACCACATTATAGCTCCGCAAGCTGGAAAGGATGAAACACGGACGATGACAGCGTGTGTGATAGACGCGATGTGACTTCTTTTGACTTTCGTGGCGACATCACTTTGTATAAGTTAGGAACAAAGAGGGCTTCCAAAAAATGACCGTAATCTGGCCTCTGCCATTTGCCGCGGGTCATCCTAGGGTGTTCATGCAGCTATACACTATTCACGCGGAGCGGCATACTGTATCATCATCAAGCAGACCCAATTGGCGCAAACGAGTGATGCCAGGCGGCGGGATGGACCGCCAGCTTCGTGGCCTCCTTCTAACAGCTGGAAGTTGTTTGCACGTATGAATCTCTGTAGCCTACCAAAGTCATGGAATTACCAGTCCTCCGTATGTTGGGACAGAAAAGACCACATGGGTCTCTGATTTGGTAGGTTTACTGCCGCGGAAGGAGCTTGTTCGGTAAGCTAACCATGATGGTACCTTAGTCGGGAAGCTGTTCTACCCCTTCTAGACTGAAGAGGATTAAGGCATTTGAAACGAAGGGGGCGGAAGAGATTCACCCTCAGGGAATCGAACAAAAAGCGTGGGTATGGGTTGGCCGAAGGACTGAAATCGCACTCTGGAAACCCTCCAAATCCCTCTCGACCACCTAACCCATTACGCCTTTCATGACAGGAAAGAAGGAGAGGAGACCCAAATGCCTTCTTCCGCATTCCCCATTAGGCAGTATATCGTGTTAAAGGCACCTGCTGTACCTTACACGGTCAATGAGCCGTGCTCTTGGTGCTCCTACTGCTCTAAGTTCTTCACTCGAGTAACTAGAACAATCAGTGGATCGTGACATCTTGGAGTTGGATTAAAGGGTATGCAAGGTCTGCCTCCTTGGTTTTTGACAATAAGTAAGTCAGATAATTGTACACGACTGAGGGTTCCCAACTTTTGGGCAAGAGTTGTAGTTAAGCATGCTAGTTTTGCTGACTCACCTTGATCAACATATTCGTGCATCGTGGAGGAAACATGCGTTTGCGCCGCTTGCAGATCATCGGATCGTGTTGCCGACGGAGTAGGTAAGCCCGGACTTTAAGGACTTAACTCTGGACAATTGGCCACCGGCATTATATCATCTTAGGCCTCAATCCTGCACTCATCGTAATATTCTTGAAACTTATATCCTGAAACAACCAATATACATTGAATGAGTAGAATCAAATAACATGGACTTCGATTCTGAGACACAGGCAACCTCCTCTCAGCGCATGTACACCGCGCGAGCAGACAACTATGAGAATTCATTCCATCCCGACTGGACCAAGCGCTTCATGGCCGTCGCCGACATCCAACCTGGCGAACGCGTCTTGATTCTAGCTTGCGGCACCGGTCTTGAGGTCTTCACCGCCGCCGACCAGGTGGGCGATACTGGCGAGATCGTCGGCCTCGACGTCACCGAAGCCATGCTCAACAAGGCGAGGGAGAAGCAAGAGCGCCTCAAGCCGAGTGCGGACATTCGTCTTTTTCTTCACGATGCAACAAGATTGGAGACATTACCGGAGCTGGAGGGGCAAAGTTTTGATGCTATCTTGTGTTCCAGCGCCTTTGTTCTCTTTGACGACCCTGAAGGTGTTGTTGCGAGGTGGCGCAATTTCCTCAAGCCGGGAGGCAGGGTGGTTGTCGATATCACGCACGAGGACAACTTCAAGATCGGACTCATACTGGAGAAGGCGGCCAAGCGCCTGCGGTCACGATTTCCCAGCAACAGGTCCTGGATCACGGACAAGAACTCCCTCACAAAGATTCTCGAGAGCGCAGGGTATGTGGTGGATAGGATCGAGCTAATGCACAATATCTCTGGCCAGGGCGACTCGTATTACGGCATGGACCAGATCGACGAGCAGTTTGATCATGTCACGAGCACGTCGTTGGTCACCAGCCTCCCGACGGATGAGTTCAGAGACCAGGCAAGGGCTCTATTTCACGAGGAGTGGAAAAAGGCTGCCGTTGACGGCCAAGTCGTCAATGTAGATGCTCTTTATATCTATGTAGCCCGAAGAACCTAGACGCGACCTTCTAATAAGAACAATTCCTTATGCACCTGACTCTACAATTTCGCTTTACCACTACCCTTGAGGTTCGGCTTCACCGGGACCTTTGGATGGTCGCCCTCTAATGCCAGTCCAGTAACCTTCTCTAGTTCTTCTACCGCCTCGTAGGCCCTTCCTAGATGGACTTTGATAGTGTTGAAACCTTGCTTCTTTGCCTCCTTTAGGTTCTCGCCAATGTCATCCAGGAACACGATATCCTGTGGTTTGATGCCCTCGCCCCACTTGAGCGCCTGGCCTCTCTCAGAACTCGCATTCTGGGCAGCGTACTCGTTCAGCCTTTCCAGCGCGAGGTGGTACATTCTTGGATCCGGCTTCCTCAAACCAGCATGTGCCGAAGAGACAAAAACGTCAAACAAACTGCGAACGGGGTCGTCCATGAAGTCTTTCCTATGCAGCTTGTGGCCCTCAGGGAAAATGACGGTGTTGCTCAGCGCGGCGAGGATATACTTCCCACTGGCCTTGAGCTTCTTCAGCGCCGGGTACATCCACGGGTCCGGGGGAATCGAGTTGGCCATCATGGTGTTGAAGAGGTACTTGGCGTCGACGGTAGGGAGGGGCGGTGTCTCCTTTGGGAGAGATGGGTTCTTTGACGTTTGGGCGGCGTAGAATGCGTCCCAGCGGCCTTGGTCGTGAAGGTCCTTGGTGAAGCCCTCGAAGAAGGCCTGGTCCATGGGTATTGAGCCCGTCTCAAGGCGATGCCAGTAGCCAGTAGGACTTGTCTTGGAGATGGAGTAATTCACCCATCCTGGCGGGATACCGAGACTAAGCTCGTAATCCAGGATGGATTGGAATGGTGATACGACCTTGTCAAGTTAGAACAATGGTCGGCATTGGTATATGATATGGCACGCATGATGTATAATCACCCATTGATGGATTGAAGGCCAATGAGCAGATAATAGTGACAGAAATCACGGGGAGCTACTTACACACACGCCCCCAATGTCGAACAAAAGCACCTTGGGCTGCTTGGAGTCTGTCATATCGTCCACGGCTTCGAGAACGTGATCAATCAGAAAGGTATCGGACTCTTCCAAAGACTGCATCGTTCCGAGAAACGGCAGATAATCTATATTCTTAAGAAGTACTTGTAGCAAACCCACAACTCGGGCCAGCGTTGGAAGTCGTGGAGAGCAGCGATGGGCTGGGGGGCCGAAACCTGGGGAAAGCCCCCACCTCGGTGCGGATTGTACCAGTGGACCTCGGCCCAAAGCACCTTACACTGTAGGAGTTGAGAGGTCACTCAAGATGAGGTAAGCTTCTCAGCACAGACCATGTCGTCCCCGGCCAAAGTCGAATCTCCACGTGACTCGTCCCCGACCTGTTTTGGGAGTGACAATCGAGGGGAGGTGGGGCCACACAATCTAGGGCTGCCCCAAAACCCACAGAGGAATATTATCGCGAAGTTGTGCCCAGGAACTTTTTTTCTCTTGACAACCCCCTTCGACAACCACCCACACCGACAAATTTGAGCCAACCGCCCGCTCATATACCGTCAAGATGGTAAGTTGATACATCAACCATCAGCTCGTCAAAAGCCTGAAAAATGGCCGAACGACAAATTGCGACAAAAACCTCCTCTTTTAGCCAGCAATGGCAAAAAAGAAATGGCCCCCAATAGCAGACAGAAATGTCTCATGGGATTGAGAGTCAACGCAAGATGCTTCGGGTCAACAGGCCATATCTGAAGCGCAAATTGCTGACTCGGAATCTTTCGTACACAGGCTTTCCACAAGTTGGTGAAGAACAGCGCGTACTACAGGTAAGTCTCAATAACTTTTCCAGATTCCCAATCAAAAGATCTTCAAGATCAGAGTGGGCTGACCTTCCAATCCAGTCGCTTCCAGACCAAGTACAAGCGTAGAAGATCCGG